GTAACTGTGTGTGTGTGCCCGCCCGCAAGCACGCACGTCCGCCCGGACCCGCATCCACCCACCCGCACGCCCACACTGAATCCAAGTCTAGAATGGCGACCGGCGTGTACTGGTCACGCACGCTGTGGAGTGCTATTTTTACAGGCTTGTTCATATGTGCCATTTGACATATGATTCGTTTGAACAGCACTTTTGAGGCATTTGTTTTTGTGACTATTTGCCCGTTTTGACAGGTAAATATAGTCGTGTGTAGAGTACAGAGTGAGTTTTTTTTTTAGTTTGTTTGTTGATGCTGTGACTGTTACCGTTCTGACTTTGAAGAGTATTTACTTTGTATCATACGGCGCAGAACACACAGCGTCGTTCCACGTGTGCTAAATCCCAATGAAATCCCACCGCAAGGGCACTTACTTGTGCACGAGCGAGTGCTGCACACCTGTCACGCATGTGTTAGCATGACGCATCTGTGTTCCGCTGCTGCTTCTTTGTGTCTGCTTGTTTGTTTGTCTGTCTGTCTAGGGCTCACTTAAACATGACAGCCGATGGTTTGTTTGTTTGTGTATTATGCCTGCGGTAATTCGTTACGTCTTGAAGATATTGGCCGGAGTTGTCTGTTTGTGTGGCATTAGTGTCGCGTTGTCTTGCTAGTGCAGTATGTCACCGTGTCTTTGTTTACGTTTATTAACTTTATTGCGTTTTATGATGATGTCGTGTGTCTGAAACCACGTGTTATTTGCGTTTAACTTGTTTTTATGACTGCCATGCCTTTTATTTTTGTTTTGTTTTGTTTGTGAGATTACTTTTTGTGAGGTTTTCAGCCTAGCACTATTCTATTATATCTGCCTTGTGTTCTGGCCATGTATCACGTCTCTTAATGTGAATCTCCATTTGAACCTGCTGTGTGATTGTGCATTAACGCGTCACGCTCGCTTTGACGTTACGTCAAAAGTTAACGTCGTTTGTTTGAGGTGTTCACGGGTGTGCAGCATGGAGCAGGATTCGCGGAATGATGATACCAAGGTGGAACTGCTTGCACGTTGTTAGGGGTGACTGCGTGCGTGCGTGCGTGTGTGTGTGTGTGTGTGTGTGTTGTGTGTGTGTGTGTGTGTGTGTGTGTGTGTGTGTGTGTGTGTGTGTGTGTGTGTGTGTGTGTGCGTATGTGTGTGTGTATGTAAAGGTGTAGTCCTATGTGTATATATATATTGCTAGTATGAGTGCGTGCGTGTCCGTGTTCGTGGCCGAGACTGCGTGCTGACGTTGGTTTCTAAGCTCGTGTGCGTGTTGGTGTTCGTGTGCATGTGTGTGTGTGTCGGGAGAGCGGGCCCAAGAAGGCGGGATCATCATCACTCCCAAACTTTCCCTCTGTGATGCGTGGGTGGCAGGCAGGGGTGAGGGGGGAGGGGAAGAGGTGGTGGCGAGGGGGTGTCAGTAACCGCACGAGTGAGAGTGGACTCCCCCGGAAGTGCGCAGTGGCCTCGCCCTCGAGCAACCCCGGGGCAGAGCGGGGATCCGCGGCACATGGGGCTGTGTTCATCATTGCACAGAATGGATGGGGATGTTATGTTATCAATCATCGAAAGTTATTGCCTCCTGTTGCCACACACATGGCGAGTCAAGGCCCCCGTGCCCGCCCTGCGCACAAGAGTGTATGTTCTGACCTGTATGTGCGTTTTGCCTCGAGGAGAGCACTATTTGGAGGAATAGAATACGTTTTCTGTGCGGAGGGATGAGAAAGTTCTTTAAATACTTGGTGGTAATGAGTGGGATGTGGTACGTGAGCTTACGAGTAAATTGTACGCATGTGTGGATGTACTAGTAATTAAATATCCAGAGTTACTGTAATCATTGATGTTTAAAATTTGTGTTTCTTTCGTGTTTGTTTTGTACCGCACGGCGCATGCATGGAGTAACGGCGCTTCTCTTTATTTTATCTCATGGCAGTGAACTTTGGGCTAGCATGTCGGCAGCAGCGAGTCATATTAACAAATGCTTGTTTTGGGTAATTGGATATGCAAATGGGCGATAAATGTACGCAAGTTGAAATGTCAGTGCGTATGTGACGGCAGTAAGGAGGGGGTGTTGGTGAAAGTTGTCGTAGTGGAAATTGCTCGTTTTATTTCATCACGAGACCGCCGCGCCGCCGGCCCTGTTGGCAGAGGCGATGGTGGCAGCAGCACTTTACGGCTGTTGGCAGACGTAGCAGAATGGGAGATGACGGTCTGGCCATGAGGAGCGGGAGCGTAATGCGGCTCCGTCGGGTGGCGGAGGCGCGGGCGGAGTCACGTGCCCAGGTGCCACTCGTCAGATTAGGCCCGTCAGGTCAAGGCGCTGCCGGGCTCAGCTGGTGTCAGATCAGGCGCTGCTGCTGCCACCGCTAAGTGGCAGCTGGTCTTGTGCCTTGACAAGCTGTGATTGATGGCAAATCTCTTGTACTAGCAGGGCATGACTGATGGCAGAGCTCGCGCGGTGGGAGGACCGGGATGGTGGCAGATTTTAAGGAATGGGACATGTTAGATGGAAGAGCTTGTGTGGTGTCAGAGAACGTCTGGTGGCAGATCTCATGTGATGGGAGAGCATGATTAGAGGCAGACATCTTGCGGTGGCATATTCTGTGTGTGGGCAATCAGTGCCAAATCTCGTGTGCTAGCAGATATTGGCCAAGCACATTGAGTGCCAGATCAGATGTAGTGTTAGATACCTTGAGTTGACACATCCCTTCAAACGGTAGGGTTCAGCTGGTGTCATATCGAGTACGAGTATTTTCAGATCGAGTATGAGTAGTGTTTAACAGCGCGAGTGGTGTCAGATTGGGCCGGAGGAGTGCCAGACCGAGTACGTGAGGTGTCAGATCGAGCAAGAGTGGTGTTAGATCAGGTGGCGAACCGGGCATTCAGAGCGGCGGGGCATGAGGCGCGGGCAAGGCCGAGCGAGCGGTGGCAGATGAGGTAATGACAGGCCCCCGATGATGGCAAGAGGCAGGCGGGCCGGCGTCAGACTCGGCCGGGAAAATGCGGGGAATGCGAGGGGAGAGGGGAAGGGAGGGGAGATAGCAGGAAGGGGGAGAGGAAGAGCCGAAGAGCGCGTGGGGGCAGAGGAAGGGGGTGAGGGGAGTCAAGATGGTAAACTGACACCAAATCTAGTATGCAGGTACCGGGCGGGCCCCGGGAGGAGGGGGGGGGCTGGTACGGCGTAGAGGGTGGATGACAGGGTAATGAGGAATGTACGGGGAAGTCGGAGAGACTGACCGGTGAGAGACAGACAGGCAGACAGAGAGAGAGAGAGAGAGAGAGAGAGAGAGAGTCAGAGACAAGTGGCGAAAGGGAAGTCGAGAGAGCCATTTAGAGATAGAAAGAGAAAGAGACAAAGCCAGCGAGATCGAGAGAGCCAGAGAGGCGAGGGGTGACCAAACGCCGGCGCAATCACGTCACTGAACAATGTGAACATGTCGCATGAACCATAATTGGAAATTGATCTCGGTTAGAAAGTCTCCGAAATAGAAAGAGAGGCGGGAGACGTGACACAGCAGGTGTGGTGGAGCCGCTGTGGTGGTGTGGCGGCGGCATCGACTTAGAAAGGAGGAAGAACAAACTCCTTTGAGGCGAATACCACCGCCACATTGTTGCGAAATGAATGGGAAGCCAATATACTCTCCGCGGTCGACTAAGGAAAAGAGCAAGACGAGAAAAGGAACGGCGGTCTACGTATATTTTTGTTTTGATGTTTCGAGAAAGCTGAAAATAACGACGGGAACCAACAGCAGCGACGGCCAGCAGACAGCAACATGCATGAGCTGTCGGGGGCGGAAAGATGTAAAAGCGGCCGACGGAGACGGAGCAGAGGACACGAAGAGGCGCGATCATAGGGGGCCGGCTGACTGGTGTCGAGGGGGAGGGTCAGGAAGCTTTCCCGGGTTGAGTACTTCCGTGGCAGGTGTAGTGCCGTAGCCCGGGGCCGTCTGCCGCTCTTTCCCCACTCGCTTCTCTCTCCCTCCCTCCCCTACCCCTTCCCTTCCCCATACCTGCTTGCCAGTGTCGCCAACTAGCCCGTCCCCCGTCCCTCTATGGGGTCCCCTTCCCCTCTTCCCCGCCCTCTACACCCCTCTGTTACCTGCTTCTACCGTGCGTACTCGCCGCCAGGTGGACGAGGCGTTGCCCACCAGTCCACCTGCCACTCCACCTGTGATCCACTACCATCTGTTTGCCTTCTTCCACCTCCCTCCGTCCCGCCAGCAACACCAGCTGTGTGCCCTCGTCGACCAGTTTGGCTATACCCGGCCCCAGCAAGACATCGACCGGCTGCCAGGAGGAATGGAGGGAGGGAGGGAAGGGCGGGGAGGGACGGAGGAGGAAGTGAGAAGGGAGGAAGGGCCGGGGAGGGAGGGAGGGGGGAGCGAAGGGTGCGTGACTGTCTGGGCCGCACCATTGACCTGCAGTGTAGGGGAGGCCCACACGGCCTGCTCATGGTTGCTCATGGCCCCTCGCCATGCTCCCTCGCCATTCCAGAACACGACGATGGCCCGAGGGTGTTGGCGGCAGCCGGCTCCATTGAATATACTTTCATTTTTCTTTGATGTTGATTGTCGAGGGGAGTTTCAATTTCCTAACTGGGAGTTATTGAAAGGTGTGAAGGCCGGATCTTTTTCTGTTCTTTTCACTCTTGTCAATTCGGACGATTATGTATGTGTTTTGTTCTATGCTGCTGTTATGCCGGTTTTGTGAAAGCGTAACTTTGGCAGGGCAGGCGTGGCATGACGTCGGGGGCTGCTGTGGCGGGGCAGAGAGTGGAGGGTTGGAGCGGCCATGCCGGTGAGGGCGTGACAATGATTAACATCCGAACTAGAAAGTGGTTGTAGGCCTAGAACTGTTTCAGGCGGCGGGAGTGGGAGGGGAGGGGTAGAAGGGTTTCTCCTCATTTGTCAGGCTTCGCTCGTTTGTATATATATATATATAATATATATATATATATATATATATATATATATATATATGTATGTATGTATG